GGCGGTGTTGGCCTACGTTGTGTGTTTGAGTTAGTACGTTGCGTGTTTGTGCTAACACGTTGTGTGTTTGTGCTAGTACGTTGTGTGTTTGTAATTGTATTTTTGGCGGCGTTTGCCTTCCATACATGCTGCAGTTCTCAATCGACATTCTGTAGTTCTCAATTGACATGCTGCGGTTTTCATTCGACGTTACGTTGTTCTCAATGCACTTGCTGTTTTTCTCAATCGACATGCTGCAGTTCTCAATCGACATGCTGCGGTTCTCAATCGACATGCTGCAGTTCTCAATCGACATGCTGTATTCACAATCTACATTACATCAACCTGTTGTTCTCAATCGACATTACGTTATTCTCATTTTACATGTAATTCTCATTTTACATTATGTTATTCTGAATCGACATGCTGTTGCATGGCCGGCGGAACCGGCGGAACCGGGGGCCGGGGGCCCCCCCCCCACTTTTTTTGCAAAAAATAACGTCTGGAGATTATTTTTGTGTGACCGGAAAAAAAATGTAGACCTACCTTTTCAGGACCCGTGAGCTGATTTTTTTTTAATTTTTTTTAATTATTTTTTATGTTACCGGTACAATCAGAAAATTAGAATTTTGAAGAACATAAAAGTCATTAAAACACACTTCAAATGTCGGGAAAGCTCATTCCCGCTATCTACGAATGAAAATTTTCCTGGGACCCCGGATCACCCTTTCTTTTTGGAATTTATCGATTCATGGAAAAAAAGAATACGCATGCAACTACTTATTTATTTATGTAGGCCTATGTATACACACATAAAATAAAAAATGAGAAAAATTTACCTGACCATTTCAAGAGGGGAAACCTTGAATTTTGAAGAACTTAAAAAGTCATTTAAAAGACCTTTCAGAAGTCAGGGAAGGTCATTTTCCGCATTCTAGAAATCGAAATTTTCCCGGGGGAACCCGGACTCATTTTTTTCTATAGGGTTCATTGGTTCTATTGAATCATTTTCAAGAGGAGGAAAACCTTGATTTTTGAAGAAATTAGAAGTAATTAAAAGACACCTCAGAAGTCAGGAAAACTCATTTCCCGCTTCTAGGAATCAAAATTTTCCCGGAGGAGAACCCCCCGACCCCCTTTCTTTTTGGGATTTTGGGAAAAAATTACCTGACGGTTTTCAAGAGAGGAAGCCTTGAATTTTGAAGAACTTAGATTAAAATCGCTATAAGATACTTCTGAAGTCGGGAAAGCTCAATTCCCACCATTTAGAAATTAACATTTTTCCGGGAAGAACCCGAACCTCCCTTTTCTCTT